CCAGGGACTCAGAGCGCCAGCCACTCTGTCCCCCCCGGCGGAAGACTGCACCCCATCTGGGTCAGAAACACTGAATTCTGTTAAGCTCGCAAATGCCAGGGTTACCCAGAAGGTTACCTGTCCGTCCCGTAGGGGGATGAGGGTTGGGGAGGAAGGAGGAGGTTGTGGGTCAGCCCTGTGCTCACCTGCCCGTGGCCAGGACGTGGTCACACGCCCACGCCCGGGGGCAGGCCACGCAGGGAGCCTGGCAGCCGTGGCAGCCATCTGTCCTCACAGGGGCCCCCACGCCTTCTCCCTGGGCGGGTGGGCTCGGGGGGTTGGAACGGTGGATGTGCAGCCGCGACGTTAGGAAGTGGACGCTCGGGGTGAGAGAGACGCCCCCGCTCCGGCCCTGCTCGCTGGCTCTCGCGGGCAGCCACGCGGGCCTTGGCTGTGGGAGCAGAGCGGCTGGCGCACAGCCTGGGAAGGTCCGCACTCCCCCGAGGATTTGGTGGTGGTTTTGTGTTAACGTGAATACGTGTTGGGAACACTTAACGCTTCAAGCATCTGTGAGGGCACTACATTGACGTGGTTGTGTGACCCTCCCGCCATCCATCTCCAGAACCTTCTCACCTTCCCCAACAGGAACCGTGTCCCCACTGAGCACTAACCCAGCCCCCAGCGCCCACCATCACGTTCTGTCTCTGGGTTTTGAGGGCCCAGGACCTCATGTGAGTGGGATCAGTGTTTGTCGTCTTGGCTTATCTCACCGAGCGCAGGACCTTGAGGGTGACCCGTGTAGCATGTGACAGGACATCCTTCCTCTTCTGGGAGGAATGCTCCACAGTTTGCACACCCACCTTCTGTTTCCCCGCCATCTGTGGGCGGGCACGCGGGCTGCCTGCACCCCAGGCTGCCGTGAACGTGGTGTTCGGACATCTGAGTCCTGCTTTCGGTTCGTGTGGAAATACGTGGCAGACATGCTCCGTCTGGTCCCCCCTGAGCCCAGGCTGCAGGCTGCATCTGCGTGTTGGCGGGCACGTCATTTGCACAAATCCTTCAGTACCAGACCCCGCACAGGTCAGACGTGGCCGTGTGCATAGAGACCTAGCCGGGACAGTGTGAGCCTGGGGCTCCCAGGGGCGTGGGGACCTGCGAGGGGCCAGGCGGGAGAGGGCCAGGGCGCACGCGCACTCCCCAAACCTCACACCCGGTCAGGTGGGTTTTTTTCTGTCTTTTCAAACACCTCTCATTTTGAAAAAGTGTGAGGTCCACAGAGGCATTAGCATGAGGGGCAGGGACCCCAGGCCTTCCCTCGGTGTGAAGGAGCCCCCAGACATCAGATGCTCCTCCGTCCTCACAAACGTCGGCTCCATTTCCAGCGCCTCACGTGGCCTGGGGTGGCTCACTCCTCAGCCCCTGTGGCCTGGGATAGTCCCCATCTAACTTTGTCTTGGTGGCTTCGCAGAGAACTGGTCGGTGGTGTATGGAACGCCCTGGTCTCCTTGTGCTTGGAGGGCCTGAGGGTTTGGGGACATGCGTGACAGCAGGGGCCCACACAGCCTGGGCCGGGGTGTGCAGGCATGTGCTCGGCCCATGGTGACTAACGCTTGTTTGCGGGGGACCTCAAGGCTGCTGTGTGTCCATCCTTCCGGCCCCCAGATGCATGCACCCGCCAGCGATCACAGCCACCTCCTCGCACGTGTTTTCCTGTCCCTTCCATCAGTCTCCGTTACTCGGCGGCTCTGCTTCACAGGAGCCAAGCCCTGGGGAGGGGGTGTACGCGGAGATGGGAGCTTGCCCCCCCCCGCCCACAGCCACGTGCACAGGTCAGGTGTCTGCACCCTCCAGGGTCCCTCGAAGTCACCCGCTCGGCCCTCCCAGAAACCCTTGCCTCTTCGAGCCATGTGAACCCTGCACCGTGATCTGGGGTGGCGTCCTCGGTCCTTCCGGCAGGCGCGTGGCCTCATCTGCCTGGTGCGGGCCGACGGGGGTCTGGCCCTGGGCCTGCCTCTCTCTGCCACTTGTTAGGACAGTCTGTTGCAGAGGGGACTTCCTTTCTCTCAGCTGTGCTCATGCAGGGTGGGGGGAGGGGTGGGGGGTCACAGGCCAGGAGACCAAGGCTGGCCCCAGGGACTCAGAGCGCCAGCCACTCTGTCCCCCCCGGCGGAAGACTGCACCCCATCTGGGTCAGAAACACTGAATTCTGTTAAGCTCGCAAATGTCAGGGTTACCCAGAAGATCAGGGGGAGACAGGCTTTTGGGCGGAGGACAGCATAGACACAAGTGCGGAATTGCAATCCTGTGTACCCGTCGGGTGGCGTCCCCGCATGGGAGCCCTGTCCCCGCTGCGTCCAGGAGAGCAGTTAGCTGCTCTGTGAGCTGGGCTCTCTGATGTGCCAGCTGTCAGCCTCCCTGTCCACGTGTTCCTCGCAAACCTGGACGTGACAGTGCCTGGCACGTCCTTTATCCCACGTGCTGGAATCCTGCACGCTCCCCCGCCGCTCGCTGGCGCCCCCTTTCCCGGCCCCGCTGGACTTGGACCCACTGGGGCCGTCCGTGCATGGCTGCTCACGCCAGGCATGCCTGAGATTGGGCTCCAAGTTGTGCCCGTGGCCTCTGACCTGTGGTGGGGCCAGGAGGGTCCGGCTGGAGGGGCTCCGTCCACTCGGAGGGAGACACGCATCCACACAGGCGCCTGGTCGGGAGGGAGGGGGGCACTGGACCGAGGCCCGGAGTGCTGAGTCAGTGCGCGGACTGGGCTGGGAGACCACGCGGCGCCTGCATGCTCGTAGCTCTGGAAGCTCCTAGATGAGAAAACGAGGGAACACGCTCGTCGCCGTCCGTGAGCCAGAGATGCACCTGGCACTGTGCGCACCCGGCTGCCCCCTCACCCGCCTGCTCTCCGTGTTTCACCCCCGCAGGGCGGAAGGTTTGTCTACGCGGGCTCCAGCTCGGGCGTGGTACAGGCCCCCGTGGCCTTCTGCGAGAAGCATGCCACCTGCAAGGACTGCGTGCTGGCCCGAGACCCCTACTGCGCCTGGAACCGGGCCACCGAGGCGTGCGTGGCCCTGCAGCCAACAGACGGCCCCAGCAGGTACCCGGGGGACGCGGCATGCCAGCCTGCCCGCCCCGCCTGTGGGGAAGGCGCGTGCGTGACCGTGCCTGCTTGTCTTGCAGGGATTTGATTCAGCAGATGAGCGGTGACACGTCCGCCTGCCCGGGTAAGTGGCTCCTCCTCGCCGCGCTCCTCCCAGGCGGCCGGGTCTCGTGACCGTGTCATGGTGCTGTGCTGGTGTGTGGCATCTCGTGCGTTTTGTCTTTCTTTCTGTGCTCGGAACAGAGGGCAAGTATCCGTGACAGTACGGAGGCCGACCCCGCCATCCCTTTGATTTGCAGAAAAGGGTGTTTGAAGCCACGTAGTGTGTGTGTTTACTGGAAGGCACTCGGCGTCCAACCCATGACATCTGCTCTCGAGACGCTTCTCTCTGCCGCGTAGCTTGGGGCCACTTAAATGACCCCGGACGTCCGGGGAGTGGGAGGGAGGGGCGCTGAGAGAGGAGTCCTCGTCCCCTCCGGAGGCCACCGCCGGCCGCGGGGGTCCGGCACATCCCTTCGCCCCCTCGAAGGCAGCCACGCTCCCGTCCCTGACCCGACAGCTGGGGCAGCTTCAGGAGGGGGCGCCGGGCGCACCGAGAGGCCACGAGCCCCGGAGCCACCAGCAGAGGCACGTGGCGTGCGACTCCGCACGCTGCCGCTCGGCCTCCCGGGGAGCCAGGGCGCCAGACGCCATCTCTGCTGTTCGGTTGCCTCCGAGGTCCTTGTTCCACTGGGCTGCCATCCGGGGCTCATCTTTGCCGTTCTGTCACGCATGTCTTTATCTCCTTAGTTGTTCTGGAAGATTCCGTGTTGCTCCAGTGGGTGAAACTCTTGTGTTCTCTTGTGCGTGTTGACCTATTTTTAAAAGACGTGAAGTAGCGAGCCGGGTTGTTGACGCTGTGCACGTTTATTTTGATGTTCCAGATGAAACTAAAAGTTTCCGGCAGCATTTTTTCAAGCATGGTGGCACAGCAGAACTGAAATGCTCCCAAAAGTCCAACCTGGCCCGGGTGGTGTGGACGTTCCAGAACAACGCGCTCGAGCCCAAGGGCCCCAAGTACAGCCTGGTGGGCAGGAAGAACTTGCTCATCTTCAACCTGTCGGAGGGCGACAGCGGGGTGTACCAGTGCCTGTCGGAGGAGAGGGTCCGGAACAGGACGGCCCTGCAGGTGGTGGCCAAGCACGTTCTGGAGGTCAGAGTGCTCCCGAGGACCCCGGCGGCCTCCACCCTGCCGGCCGCCCGGGCCGAAGGGGACAGGACCCTCCTCAGAGTGTCGACGGAGCCCATCCCAGGCCCCCCGGCCCAGACCCCGGCCCCGCCGCCGCCCAGCCCCGCGCCCACCGGCGTGTCCTGCAGACCCAAGACCGTCATCAACACGGTCCCCCAGGTGCACTCTGAGAAGACCATGTATCTCAAGTCCAGTGACAACCGGCTGCTCATGTTCCTGTTCCTGCTCTTCTTCGTGCTCTGTCTCTGCCTCGTTTCCTACAACTGCTACAAGGGCTACCTGCCCAGCCAGTGTCTGAAGTTCCGCTCGGCCGTACTGCTGGGGAAGAAGCAGCCCACGGCCGACTTCTCCGAGTTCGAGCAAAGCGTGAAGGAGACGCTGGTGGAGCAGGGCAGCTTCTCCCAGCAGAACGGGGGGCAGCCCAGGCCGGCCCTGGACACCGGCTACGAGACGGAGCAGGATACCATGGCCAGCAGGGTGCCCACCGACAGGGAGGACTCACAGCGGCTCGACGACCTCCCGGCCCGGGACAGGCCCTTCGACGTCAAGTGTGAGCTCAAGTACGCCGACTCGGACGCGGACGTGGATGCGGACTGAGGCGCCCACGCGGAGGCCTCTGTTCACCGTCCGTCACCCGGCCCGGGGCCGCGTGGGGAGCCCATGTCTGTGCACCTGTCTTCTGTGTCTTTTCTCTCGGGTCAAGCTTGTGATTTGGTTTCTCTTTGTCCTTTTGGAAAGCGGCGAGCAGCGCGTCCTGGCCTCCCGCGGTGGGCCGCGGTCTGGGACGGGCCTGCGAGCGGTAGTGCCGGCTCCCTGAGCCCCGTTGCGGTGGCCCGCGGACCCCCGCGCCTGGCACGCCCCCTCCTCAGAGCAGTGGCCCCTGAAAGAGCATTTCATTCCAGATTGGAAATGGCATTTTTGTTTATCAGATTGGTAACTTAGCGCCTGTTGTCCAGATTGGCACGAACCTTTTCTTCCACGGGATTATTTTGTAGGGTTTTACTTTTCTTGTGTTAGGTCATTTATTTTTTAAATTACGAAAGCAGATGTTTTAATATTTAGTAGATGTACATCTTCTGGATTCTGTTGTTATGTGAGGATAGGATAGAGCTTACGTTGCTTACGATTCTCAGGGATAAACTTACTTTGGCTAAATGCCTTCTTTCTGCTTTTAGAAACGTAGACAAAACCATCTCTTGAACACACTTTTTTTTTTTTTAATTTTATTCCTTGAGGGAAGCATCATTTTCAGAGAGATTTTCTTTCTATACTTTTTTTTTTTCTGTTTTAACTCTTTCGAAGAAGAGAGGACAGTGGGGGGCTATCCCGTGAGCCAGGCAGGGTCTTCAGGGTCTGTGGCGCCGCCAGGCCCGGAGCTGAGGGGGCATGCGTCTCACGATCAGATGCCCACAGCCGCTGCTCGAAACCTCCCATGCAGACGGACAACTGAACACAGCTGTCCACACCTACAAGCGAGCTGGGCGGTGGTGGCCAGACAAGCCTGTGTCTCAGCACCCCACGGAGCCACGGGGTGGACCCGCGTGGCCTGGCGCGGCCTCTTGAGGTGCAAACGGGCGAGGCGGTTTGACCGCGGTGACATCACGCTCCACCTGCTGCTTCCCCCACACCTGCAAGAGGAGGCTCTCTTTCCGTGGCAAAGAGCAATAAAATGGATTTCTGTGTCCCTGTGTGGACAGCGTCCTCTTCAGCATGATAGGACTCAACTGTCTTGGTGTAAACGTTTGTGTTTTATAAGATTTACTTTGTTTTTATTTTTCTACTTTGAATTGTATACATTTGAAAAGTAACCGAATAAATGAGCAGCTTACATCCCTGACGTGGGCACGTGATTTGCCGCGGCCGGGAGGCCTCCCTCCCTCCTGGGGGCGCTGACCGGGGGGCGGGCGTCAGGACAGCCTGGGTCCCTCTCTCCTCCTCGTTCTGCTTCCTTCCTCCGGCATGTGGTGGGTTCCGGAGGACGCCTGCCTCAGTGGCCTCTTTCTTCTCTGTCTTCTGTCTCGCAGCCTCATCTGTGCCCTTCCCTCCTCCGGGGTCCTCCTCCCTGTCCTGTTGGGGCCCCGGCTCCGCTTCCTCTCCCCGAAGCCCCTGGCCGGCCTCGGCCTCGGGGTCAGACAGCAGCCTGCCCATTGCCTTGCTGCCGCCCCTCCTCAGCGACCAGGCCCAGCAGGTGCACGCCCTGGGGACCTTCCACCTCTTCTGCCAGGCCACAGGTGAGCGGGGCACCTGTCGGGGGGGGGGAGCACAGGGTCGGGGGGCGGGCTCGCTGCAGCCTGCAGGCACTGTTGCCCGGAGCTGCTCCTGCAGACGGGAAGGGCCAGTGTCCACTGCTGTGGGCCTCACGGCCACGGTTTCTGTGGCAAATACTCGGCTGTCCGTCCAGAGCCTCCAGGCCACCCACAGATGAGCTGGGCTTGGCCCCAAGGCCTCGGTCGGCCAGTTGCCCGTTTATAGGACTGATTGTGTGCTGACGATTCGGGGCTCCGTCTCTGTGGCATCTGAGAAATTAGCTCCAGAGCCTCCAGCCGGGGCGCTGTTCTCCGGACTCCTGTGCCGGCGTTGAAATGCAGACAGCTTGAGAGTCCGGTGGCCTGGGAGACGTCGGGCCGGGCAGCCGCACGGCTGTGGTCTCCGCTGTGCGGTGGCCGAGCCGCTGCCCGGGCCCCCGCCTCTGTGCCCAGAGGGAAGTAAGAAGCGCACAGGTGGTTTTGAGATTTTAACCTGTCGAGAAGCTGCTCCGGGTGTGGAGCCGGCTCTGGGAGCTGTGGCGCACCCCATGGGGGCTGTGGACCGGCTGCGTGGGCCGCAGGGCAAGTGGCCTGGGAGTGGGGCGCTGTGGGGACAGACCTTTGGGGGCAGGTCCGTGCTGCCCCGGGTCGCCTGCTCCGTGCCCGGCCTTGGTCTGTGCTGGGCCCCCTGTGTGGCTCCTGGGCCGAATGTTGTCCCTGTCGCTGGGAGAGCGGTGGTCACACAACCCAGCACTGCGGGTGCGGGCAGGCCACGTGTCTGGGAGCCAAATGCTTTTATTTTTTTATTTTTTTAAGATTTTATTTATCTGAGACAGAATGAGAGAGACAGAGAGCACATGAGAGGGGGGAGGGTCAGAGGGAGAAGCAGACTCCCTGCCGAGCAGGGAGCCCGATGCGGGACTCGATCCCGGGACTCCAGGATCATGACCTGAGCCGAAGGCAGTCGCTTAATCAACTGAGCCACCCAGGCGCCCGAGCCAAATGCTTTTAAATGTGGCTTCTTGGGGAGGCACCTGTTAGCTGGTATGCGCGCACGGGGCGCTGTCCCCGTGACTGGGGGGGCCCAGACCACTGTGGGCCAGAGCGGAAACGCCAGGCTTCAACGGTGCCCCAGCGCGGGCCATTAGTGGTGGAGCTGCGGGCAGCCGGGGAGGGGGTGTGGTTCCCGCCTATGGCGCCGGCAGGAAGCACAGCCAGCCACGGGGCAGAGGCGGGACACCCCCCCGCCGTGCCAACCCCCGCCGTGCCACTGCCAAGGTCTAGGAGCCGGAGGGGCGTTCCCTCCTCCTGACTTCCCGCCTCCAGCCAGTGCCTCCGAGGTGGGACCTAACGGGACTGGGGGCCAAGGATGGGGACCATGGCTGGTGGCCTCGCAGCGTGGAGGGGTGGCAACTCAGGGTGGACTGAGCAGAGGGACCAAGGCCCCTGCCCTCCTCCTCCCATGCTCCTTGCTTTCCAGGAGCGTGGCCCATCTAGAACCTTCCACTGTTCCACCGCGGCCCCACCTGAGGTAGTGAGGTGGCCTGGGAAGGACCAGCCTTTCCCAGGGGGCCCGCATGTCCCATTCCATCTGAGGGGGAGGGCTCTGCATTTGCCCAGAGCAGGCTCAGTCCACACTGTCTGCCCCCACGGGCCCCCACAGCCCTAACGGGACTGTGCTCCCGGTCAATTTAGGCATCTTTAAAGCTAAGAACGGATCTGCTGTACTTCAGGTGACGCTGGACTATTCGGGGTTTTGATGGCCTTTTATGTTTTAACCACGATGTTGGACATCAGAGCCCTTGAAGCCCCTGGGAACCGCGGGGGCTGTAGAAGGTGCGCAGCCGAAACATCCCATGAGCACCCACAGCGGCCATTGGTGCTGGCATGTATTTTGGGGCGGGGGCTCCAGAAAGGCCAAGGCTGGGCTGTGGGGGTAGCAGACTCGTGAGCTGGTCATTTTCCAGAAGGGTTGGGACCCCTCCATGGGCGGGCAAGGCTGATGGGTCACCTTGCTGGGGTCTCGATCCTTAGCAGGTTTGGCAGGGTGCTTTTGCCAGAATCTGGGTCTCTTTTCCATTGCGATCACCCACGTGCCTCTACAGAGCGGTCCTCGTGCGTGGGACGGTCCCCCGCACCTGGCACCCTGCGAGGCTGCATGCCTGGGCCAGTGACCCCCCGCCCTCCCACCTCCCCACTGCGGTGTCTGGAAAGTGCATTTAGCCACATGTGCCTCCAGGGACTAGGACCTGGATATTCTGGGGGTCACTCTTCAGCCGACCACGGGGTACTGGCTGTTTCATGACAAGCTGGGGCACTCTGAGGAGGAAGGCCGATGAAATTGGGGTGGTGGAGACCGACACCCCAGTCGGGTCCCATTTCTGTGCTGGACACTGTCCGGCCCCAGGGCTCCGGTGTGAGCCCCCCCACCTCCGCCCCGCCGCTTCCCCCCGGCCCGGGTGTGGCCAGGGCCTAGTGGGAGGCCGCAGGCGTGAGCACGAAGAGGGGCTGGCCCCAGGGTCAGAGTAGACCACATGCATGGGGATGCCCGGAGGATGGCTTGCCAAGTGGGGACACTGGTCACAGATGTGGCCCGAGGACTTAGAGTGGACCCATCACACCCCCCTCCGACTTGGGGCTCTCAGGACCCCACTTCCAGAATCGGATGTCCTCCCTTGGTGAGAGGCCCCTGCTCTGAGGAGCTCTGGTTTTGTCACGAAGTAGAATCAGCTCTGCAGCCACGAGTCCCCTTAGGCGGCGCGGGGCGGGCTGGGAGCAGGGCACCGGCCCCTGCACCTCGTTGACCCCGTGGTAGGTGCTGGAACCCAAGGCCAGGGGAGCCTTTCCAGGGCCCAGAAGAGGTGCCACACGCCCAGGGCACGAGGGCCTGGCCCTGTGGGGTTGCACAAGGCCCCCGGGGTAGGTGGGTGCGGGCCCTGCTGACGGGTTCTAACTGTCACTCTGCCTCCTTGTTCTCTGCATTCAGAGGGAGCTGGATAGCTTTAAAAAAGAGTAAGTAGAACGTAAGTACCCCTCTAGCATTTTTAAAGCTTTACTGTGGCTAAACACACACTTAAAGATTGAGCGATGAAGTTTTTCAGGACCGAGGGCATGAAGTTTGCGTTCAGCCCGTGCCCCACCCCCACGCCCAGCCCCCCCAGTGTGGTCAGCCGAGCATTTTGCTCCTTTGGGCCCCGGCCATGTGGCCCTGGGTGATGATTCGCTGCCGGCTCAGGCCACTCCAGTCCTTTGTCCCAGGGTTGGCCATGAGAACTTTCCGGAAGCTGTGACCCACCCTGGTGGCTGCAGTCCTGGATGGGTCTTCATGCACGTCACCGTGGGGCAGTTGGGGGTGAGGGGGAGCCCGGCTCTTTGGAACAGGCTTCAGTGTCTGTTCACAGCCTCACGGGATCCCCTCTGAGTGGCCGCGCAGCCCGTGCTGTCGTGAGGCGCGCCCGGCGGTCACAGGAAGGGGCTGGGCCGGCTGACGGGCTGCGGTCAGGCGTGCGCACGTACGGACGTGTGACACGTACAGAATTGTCGATGGGCAGGCGACAAAACGCTCTGGGCAAAACAAATTATAGCAACACAATAAAAACCCAGAAACCCCACACGGAAAACAAGAGGAGACGCTGTGTCCCCGTGGCCGGCATGGCCAGGGTGTTGAGCAAAGCCTTCCAGAATTTCCTCGACTGACCGCCTATGGCACATTTCCTTCCTGAGGATGCCTCGTTTTCGCTGCAAAAGCAGTATCTGCCGTAGTGGATCTGGGACCCCGGGGAAGGATAAAGAGCAGGATGGAAGCGTCTCGAAGTCTGCCGTCTGCAGGGAGCCACCACCAGCGCAGCGGCCACCCGCGGGCCTTTCCGCTGGGCGTCTACACGCGCGTGTCTATGTGTGCACACGCCTATACTTCGAGATCTCCTCCTCTGACACGGTGACATTTCCCCGTGTTACTGTCTTCTTAAACATCAGTGACTCACGAGTGACAAGCAAGGCTTAGGAAGATTTTCAGGACCGAGGGGCACATGAATTCTGTTCAGCCTGTGGCCGCCACTAGGTGGCCGTCACGTCACGTGTGAGACCCCTGGTCGTCTGTCTCCAACTTCTTACACACACAGCTCTGGTGGCCCCATCTGTGTTCTGATCGCCGCCTCGGTCCATTCGTGGGACCGTCTGGTCTGAGAGTCTGACTTTCCCTTGGGAGGTAGGCTCTTTGAAGATCCTGAACGCGGTGCATCGCTGATGAGGAGACCAAAGGTGGAAGGTGCCACGCCGGTCACACAGGAATCCACGTGGAAGTTGTCTTGGAGCTCTTCCTCCAGCTGGTGCCACGGCTTTGGGTCCTGGGCTTAACCCTTTGGCTGCAGGTTCTCTCCCTGCTCGGCGAAATGCAGCCCTTGCTCTGACGACCGTCCTCCACGACGCTGCAGCTTACGTCCTCCCAGCTTGGGGGGCAGCTAGGTAGAATCCCGCTTTGAGAAATGGCTCCCAGCCCAGCCGCTGGTCCTGTCCACAGCGGGCACAAGCAGGGAGGAGGGGGCGGCAGGGACAGAGGAGCCTTCAGCCTTGCTCCACGCCCTGGCCCCGG